CAAGATATAAAAATAACAGTTCAGTTCATGACAACCTGTTTCTCTGATCAGAACTGCTTCTTCTCTGAATACAGCTCCTTGTAAATCTCTAAAAATACATCACAAATCTAATTAAAACGTATAAAAAGTATATTTTATGTATAAAACATATCAAAAACAATGAACCTACAGAGAAAACAATGAACATATCTGCTTCAGCCGCATCTTCTACAAATCAAACATCATAAATACTTAAATTATGGAAGAACATGTTAATGGATGTAAAGACAAGCACTACTGTATTATAGGTATTGTGGGCTTGAAAAAATAGTGACAGTGGATTTTATATTTTCCTGATGATTTGACTGGAGTCAATATAAACTGTCAATAAATTCAGACTTATGTCACAAATGCAGTCAACACTTCTTAGCTCGTTCTCAGCTTAACTCTCGGACTCAGACATTGGACTCAATAATATGACTCAAAATACATCTTTATAATAACTTTGCTTTAGAAACTATCTTCTCTAGGTAGAAAAAGACCATTGCAAGTTTCAATGCAAAATGAACGATCATTATTTGCACAATACAAAAATTTACCTCATTAGAAAGATAGTGACTGTTTAGATTAAGTTTGTGTTACGTTCTGCTTTTGCATATCTATACAAGCCTCTGTATTGGGTTATGGGTTTAAAATCGTCATCTATATTTAATCTGTTAAAAATATCTTTGGTCGATTGTGTCCACAAATCACTGAAATCTAGTGTGAACAAAACTTTGCAAACAGTTGCTTGAATCCCATAAGTCCGAAGAGTGGGAGGTGAGGCTACTCCTGATCATATGATTATATATTATATGTATGTGTGTGTGTGTGGCTCAGTCCAAAGAGGTGTCAAAGAATGAAAAAGAAAATGCGAGACATGCATTTAAGTCAGTAGATATCTTTGCATTTTACATATCACAATATTTTCATTTTGTCTTTTTAAAATTATCATCACTGCAACGAGTGAGGTTCAGATTCCAATATCCATGTAGACAGTTCACAGGTAGTGTGTCACAGTTTGATATTTAAGCTCAATAAACTCCTGCCTGGGATTGGCTCCAGCTCCTCCTGCGATCCTCTAAAGAGAAGTGGTGAAGATGATGGAATTGGTCTATCCAGCTAGATTGACATGGTTTGGGTTCATGTGTCATTCAGTTGTTTTGCTTTGGGATCAGCAGACAAAAGACAAAAGACTTTCAAACTTTAACCTTTCTGTAAAGCAGCTGACACTTTTTATCCACAGACGTCAAATTTGACTGTTACTGCTTGATAACTGTTAATTTTCATTCTTGCCATCATGCTAGTGTTTCTGCCACTTGCTCCGCCTACATCATCACTTCAAGGCACAACCACATCATCCCTGCTGAGGACAGGAGAATGGTCCATCTTTGTCTTTTCACATTACTGGAGCTCCCGTTCCTCCGTCCGTCAACTGACACGACTGGAATCAGATTTGAGGTCTCTGTCGTGTCCAACGTCAGTCGAACCCCTTCAGATGAATTGGCTCCTTTGGCTCATCATCAGACTCAACAGCTCCAACCAGCTCCGTTGTCCAGGATGTGCAAAGTGCGTGGCCAGTTGTGATTTAGTGAAACAACCACTGGAAGTTTCAGCTTCAATCTGCATCAGCTTTTGTCTTCAGTCATTTCTTGGCCCTGCTGCCTGGCTTCTCCTCTGCACCGCAGTTTGATGAGGTTTGCCTGGCAGTCGCCGGTCGGACCTTGGCGAGCTCAGACGAGGCCTTGGCGTCGTCAGAGTTGGCTTTGGCAGTCTCCGGACGTGTTTTGGACTCTTTCTTTGGCGGTGGAGGAGTGGCGGGCTCCCAGAGGAAAAACTCATGCAGGAGTGTGTTGACGACCTCGGGACACTCCATCATTACCATGTGACTTCCATCCTCCAGCAACTTCAGGAAGGCCATTAGGAGGATCTGACAAAATGTTAAAAAAACAAGTTTGGATAAAGAATTATTAACAAAACCCAACACTTTGTGTTTTGTGCCAAAGCACAAGCCAAGTTTACAACCTCTGAATCATTGCCCACGTCTCAGAACTTAAGCTGCATAAAGAAGAGAGAAAAAAAGACACTTCTGCTAAATTATTATGCTTCTGAGTTTTTAATGTAGCTGGAGGAAATCACGTTCTAAATTGATATGGCTTGCGAAGAACGGAACCCCGATAATATTAGTGCAAAACGTGCTCAGTTCTTTTGTCTTCTGAGCAAGTGATTCTACGCAGCCCCTGAAGTTCAAGTTTCTTCTCACTGTTTAATCCTTTAACCACAATTTTGGCCATTTTTTATTTTGTTTGATCGTGTTCAGCTGGAGACAGAAAGGAAACACAGGCAGAGTGAGATGAGGAATGAAATGTAGTTAAAGTCCCTGGTTGGACTCAAATCTGGGACATTGCACTTTAGTGTTAGCACATAGGGGAGTTCTTTCTTTTTACTTTTTATTAACTGGCAATTTTTATACTTTATTATTGATTGTTGACCAAAGCATTGGTTTTAGTGAGTTCTTGCCTTTCAGAGCCTTTATGTTACATTGACTTCCTTAAAAAAAATCAAAGTGCTTTTTAATCTTAAATGAGACATTTCATGCTTTTACAGTTTCTCTTTCCTCTTTCCTGCTATAAAGGTTTTTTTGTGTAACTAAAAAGTTCTGCAAACTTGAAAAGCCAAAGTCCATAGTAAAGGGAGTTCCTCTTTCCCACAGAAAACACTGAAGCTCCTGAAACGCTGACAAGTGTGTATTTTCCTAACAAAGTCAGGTAAAGTGACAGTGGCCAATATTTCCACACGAATTTTGAAGAAAGTAATGGGTTATTTTGAACATTAGAGCATGTAAACCTGACAAGTAATAACTCAAATTAAATTTATGAACCTAAATATGAGCAGAACATGTTTAACTCCTTTAAATGAGGCAGACAAGTAAACTGAAGTTCAAAGATTGGAGCTTATCCACTGAACACAATCGATGAAAAATGAATGGCTCTTCAGGAGCTAAAGGTCTCAAAAAAGAAATCATGTTTTAAGTAAATTTTGATATTAATTCTCATGACCCCTACAAATATTTTTGAACAAATTGTTCAATTACTTTCCGCCGTCTGGTTCTCTCAGTTCACTCATTCTATGACAGTCGTGTTTTTAGAGGATCAGTTTTCAGTTTGGTTCTGAACTTATGGGGTTGACCTCTTCACCTCTGCCATGCGCTGATCCTCCTCCACAGGAACAAACTTGTCATGCATGCCGTGCACCAGCAGGATGGGCACGGTGAGCTCAGCGTGGTAGACCTCGTCCCCCTCAGGCCAGTACTGCCCGCTCATCATGGCGCGCAGCACAAAGGACGACACGTTAAAGGCATTGTTCTCTTTCAGCAGCTGCTTCTCTTTGGCACCCTGCCGAGCAAAGCCCGCCCTGCAGCAGACAGAGCAGAGGAGATTCACTTGAATTGCTCCAAAACATCAAAACTGTGGTGGAAATAAAAAACACTGAGGTCCACATGAATGACACAAAGATGCTGCAGTCTCCACATATTTTTATCTTTCCCTGTTGCAGGCTGTCTTACTTGAGAAAGCTCCAGGCAAACAGCGGCGACAGACAGTGAAGCACGCAGGTGGGCAGGTTGAAGATGGAGCAGAGGCTGGGCTCCAAAGCTGTGGGACCACCTCCGTTGATCATCACCATCTTGTGGATCTGCTCCGGATACTCATGAGCCAGAAACGTGCAGAATGACACTCTGGGAGAGGGGAACAGAAGGTTGGTTAAAAGACAAGCTAGACAATTTTACCTCCACTTAGTTGCAACAGTAACCACAAACAAAACATGATCTAATTATAGTTACGATGATAAATCTCTCTGTAGAATGTACCCATAAGAATGTCCTATGAGAATATTCCTCTTCCGTGCATATCTCTTGAAGATAAGTCTCATATCCTCAGCCAGGGCGTAGAACGTGTAAGCTGCAGCGATCTGCGGTGCCGAGCTGGCCCCGTGACCTGCCAGGTCCGGGGCGATGACCTCGTAGCCCAGCCGAGAAAAGAAGTCCAGCTGGCTTCCCCAGATGTCCAGCGAGCCTCCCACTCCATGGATGAAAAACAGAGCCACGTCCTGATGTGTCCCTTTACAGGCTGAGATCTTCCTCTCACAGTCGATCACCACCGTGCGTTTGGGTTTCCGCCTGCGCATCCTTGGTTGCTGTAACTGGTCGGTCTGTTCAGCAGCAGGTGCCACGTCTCTTACTCCTGCTTCAGATGCCCCATTGTTTCCAACTGTGATGGAGTCTGACCGGGCCTCAGGGATGCTGACGGGCGGTGAGGTTTTGGCACAGTCTGTAAGTTCAACCTCAACCGGGCTGTTCGGTTCTGTCTTTCCATTCTGGCAGTTTTTCAGCTCTGCATTCGCTGCGTCGCCCAAGTTCTCCAGGAAAAGTTGTCCATTGCGATACACTGTGATCCTTCGTTTGCAGCTGACACTCCCACCCTGCCCGGTGGGCTCCTCCACCACCGGCCGGTCAGGGATGATGTGTCGAACCCGCAGGACGCGGCCTGGTTTCACCTCCACAAACTCGTAGCCATCAGCAGGTTCTGAAGTTTCTACCGGAACCACGATGTTGGCAGACTTTGAGGTCAGGCAGCAGAGAAGACCTTCCATAAAGCTGGTCAGCATGGCTGCCAGTCTGGAGGGAAGGCAGAACAGAACAAACATGCAAATGTGACTACAACAAGGTCACAGAAATCCAGAGGCACATTCATTTAAAAAGAACCACTGTTAAAAGTAAGGACTTCATTCAAACTATATGGATTATGACATTGATAAAATATCTCTGGAGCCTGAAGATAAACTACATCAAGCGGTGGGGGAGTGGTTAGCATTGTTTCCTCAAGCAAGAAGTATCTGCGTTCGAACATAAAGTGTTGAGTTTAGATGTCCTCCTGGAGCCTGTGTAGGTTTCTTCCTCTGACTTCCTCCCACAGTCCAGAGACATGCGGGTTAGTTTAACTCTACATTAGACATTAGCGCTCTGACTGATGATCTCTTCATGGTGTAACCTGACCCCCTCCCCAATGTCAGCTGAGTGTTGCACGTTTTAGAATGCAATCAGAAGGAAACCACTGGAAACCTGTATTTCCCTTTTTATTTTTCACTAAAATAATCAGCTTTTCCTTTAAGGATGCATGGGCCATGGAAGTATCTTTGCTTAACATTTGTGTGAGACAGAACTTTCATGTATCAATGAAAAAAAGGTACAAACACGGAAGAATGCATTTGATAAATGAGAAGGAAACCTATATTTTAGAACTAGAATGTAACTGATGTACTCTTAATTCTACTTGGCTTTCTCTGACTGAGTGTACATGTAGGTCGAGCTGCTGAATTGCGGGCTTAAGGAGGTCGAGCAGACCCTTTAAATTCAGTCAAGCTGCTGCTGTCATTACAAAGCGAAATGTTCTCTATGTCAAATGAGCATTTGGGAATCTTAAGTGCACCAAAAGGCGAACAAGGTCTTGTGTCTTTACAATCTGGCGTCTACTTACAACTTAAACCCTCACGATTTTCTGTCCGACGCAACCGAGCAGCATCTACCCTCAGTGCGGCCTTTAGGGGGTATTAATAGACGGGGACAGTAATAGCTCTGTGAGTTAAAGCTGCCCGCCATGTGATCACTCTGCAGCAGCGCACACATGCCGACGTACTGTCAGTCACAGAACGAACTCAGGACGAGTGGCTCGTTTTATGGACGTTTATATTTTGCCACGTTAGAGAGGAGAGACTTTATTACTTTGGTGTAAATTTGGCTCAGAGAGAAAATACATTAATTCACACGTTCACATGGTCTTAGTCGTGTTAAAATACAATACACATGGATTTAATTATCACAGCCAGGGAGGTTGATATCCAGAGAATGGATGAGACAGTGAACACTGCACATCTCATACACGCAGCAGCTGTGTGTGTGTGTGTGTGTGTGTGTGTGTGTGTGTGCTCCACAGTTTGTCAGGTTGTCAGTTGATTACCAGCCATGGCAACAGCAGAGCAGCCACACAGGGTCTGAAAGTCTCTGTGCCGGTGGAATTAACCTACCTCCCTGCTGGACGGGATTATGCTCCCTGTCTACACAACACAATCTGTCTTTCCCTCGGTCAAAACAGTGACAACACTTTTACTGTTGCAACTTTTTCTACACATGCAGCCCATCAGCTCCTGCTTTTCATCCGGGGATCACGGACACAATGTAATGCAGCATTCCTGCTTTGCTGGCTGTTCTCGTTTTGCTTATACTTGCACATCCTCCAATTCAGACAGCAGTGATGTCCAGAGCTGTACATGTGCACTGACTGAAGAAGGCTGAGCAGGACATGTTGATTCCACCGGGAGCAACACATTCACCTCAGATGTTGCTCCCACATCAGAGGACATCCATTATCCAGTAACAAGATGTGTCTGCTTCATATGGAATGTTTGTTTCTGTTCTGTTTAATTCAAATCAATCAAATTATAACATCATCTCAAGGCACTTTACATTGTAAAGGTTATAGAGAAACAGTTTCCACAATGAGCAGCACTTTGGTGGCTGTGGAGAGACAACAACCCCCTCATCAACAGGAAGAACCAGACTCGATGTGAGCAGCCGTCTGCCACGACCTTTGAGTGACACTGTAATTCATAGAATTCATTTCAATTTAATCACTGACATAAATAAATATGTACTGTGTGTTTACTCTGGTCTACACCAATATAAACCCTTTATCTAGAGCTGAAACCTCCAATCTATCCATCTATCCATTCATCCATCAATCTATCTATCCATCTATCCATCCATCCATCTACCCACTGATCCATCTATCGACTTCACATACTAAATCAACTTGATAGCCAACTTATTTTTGGTGATAGTGTCTAAATACAGAGATGGTGCTGTGTGATGAGGTTGTTTGAATGTTGGACACTGTCTCTGTTTTAAATCTAGGCCACATATATTATTTAAAAAGCAGGGGTAGAGAAGGTGTGGAGAGTTTTTTGCAGTACTAGAGATGTTTGCAAGCTGAAGCTAGAAAATCACAGAACAAATAACGCCTCAAAAAAAAGACCCACTTGTAAAATTGCATATCATGTTTCATCCAGGTAAGTAAAACACTATTTAAAATATCTGTAATAATAATAATCAAACCACACTTTTTCAATCCTGAATACATACAAAGGGACTGTTAAACTGCCTTGTTTCAGAGCAGCTCACTGGAAGGTGATGAGGTTGTTCTAGGAAAAGTTACTATCGAAAACTTTGTTTGATCCCTCATTATATCCCAGAGAATTGTGGGAGTAAATCTCCTCCATGACACTTTTCATTTAGACATCATAGACACACTGTTATCAAATCTGTGGCTTTGCTTCTTGTTACCTTCTCTACATGCGTTCTCAGTTGTCACAGTGGCTGCAGGAGACTGTTATGTAACGATTTACGCACGTCTGACACAATCACAGTGGGGCCTGATGCCCAGAAAAGAGTAGAGACGTTGGTGGAGATTAAAAAAACAACTACAGAGCTGTAAGTTCATTGCTGAGAGGCCTCCTCAGTTATTTGACACATATATATTTCACTTTTAAAGATACTTTTTGGGGTCTACTTTTTGTTTGCATGATTTAAATCAAATAAATCACCAATGTCTGAATGTTGCACATGAAAACAAATGATCTGGACAGAACTAATAAAAAACATTCAGCCATTCAGCCACAGTTTTATGCTGAAATGCTGTAGGAAGACGAGTAAATATGTAGCGTGCAAAACTGATGGATCATACATAATGGACATTTATTATGGAAAATGCAAAGGCTACTTAGACTAATAAATTGAGCAACCATTCAAACATAAGGGCGACAATAAAGGAGTATAAGCAGTTCAGCTACATTCTGCCTGTTGCTGATTTGGGATGAAACATGTCTGGTAAAGCACATGGCCCCATCTATTCACTATTACAATCAAAGAGTTGAATAGTCCACTCATTGTCGTCTGATGGTGCAAATGAGGCAAGTGCCAGAAGGTTTGCTCCTTTATTTTAGAGTTATTTTAAATGAATTGAAATGCAACCATGGTATTTTGCAGTATAGACACACAAAGAACAGCTTAATTCTGTGTCTATACTTCCAAAATCTGACCATCCTGATCAAAACAATCACAAGGCAAGATAAATACAAGTAAGGAAAGAAAACACCCACCTCTGTATTCCAGAAAACTCAGCGTAAAATACGTGGATTTCTTGTGAGGCACCGAGGAAGCAGGAGAGCTATAATCTGCCGCAGCCAATCCAATAATCTAATTTATCTGGATTCTGTTGTAGCCTCCACATGGCAGACACTGTCAGTCCACTGCGATGAGGTCTGTGTGTGTGTGTGTGTGTGTCTGTGTGTGTGTGTGTGTGTGGGTGTGGGTGTGTGTGTGTGTGTGTGTGTGTGTTTGTGTGTGTGTGTGTTTGTGGAGCTGCAACTGCCCCCTGCTGCTGCATGACGGAGACAACCTCTGGACACACACATGAAATAATAAATCTTTTTCTCATCCCCATAATCTGTTCAGATAATGAAACCAATGTGTATAATTTGTTCATGTAGTTGTCATTTCACTCAGAAATGTGTTTTGCTTGTTGTTGTTTGACTTTAATAAATTAACATAATATAATAATGATTTCTCCACCTGGCGGAAGGGGGAAGTTTCTTTATGCTTTGGTGTGTACCTGTAAAACCAGAAGGTTTCTGGTGTGTATATTGAGCGTGATTTATAAAGTTTGGATGCAGGTCCTGGTCCAATGTTTAACTAACACAACTGAGATGTAGAAAACTGAAGCCTGCTTTGCACATATGAAGTAGCTGAATGTAAAGACTCAATAATAATTGCCACTTCATATAGATTCTGGAGAATTTTTGAGTGAGGGAGAAATTTTAACAGGGTAATAAAACTTTTTTGTTATTTACTTATAAATTATTAATCTGAGAATGTTATTTTATTTGTCTTAAAAAATGTGTGGCGAGGATCTTTAAACTAAATCATGATGTGTGAAATACTATTTGTTCTTACATTTTGTAATAGAATAAAATGAAATGGAATAGAATCAAGTAGAGTAGACCAGAATAGAATAGAATAGAATAGAATAGAACAGAATATAATAAAATAGAATGGAATAGAATAGAACAGAACAGAACAGAACGGAATGGAATAGAATAGAATAGAATAGAATAGAATAGAATAGAACAGAATAAAATAAAATAGAATGGAATAGAATAGAATAGAGTAAAATAGAATGGAATAGAACAGAACAGAAGGGAATATAATAGAATACGATAAAATAGAGTAAAGTAAAATAGAACAGAACAGAACAGCATGGAATATAATAGAATACGATAGAATAGAATAAAGTAAAATAGAATAGAATAGAACCTTGTGAAACATATGGTGAGTGTCTGCTGGTGTTTTATTGTGGAGCTCATCATGAACAGAACAGATCATTAGTCATTCACCGAGCTTGTGTTCTGTTCGATGATTGGCTCTCTTGTCGAGCTGCTGTCACGTGGATGGAGTGTAGGCCAATGGGCGCTCTCGGGGCGGGGCTGAGGAAGCATCGCTGCCATCATGCTAGCTGCCGGAGTCCTGTGGAACCCGCTCTGCTAACTCATGTCCTGACGTCTCCAGCGCGATCGTCCTCGTCGACTTGTCTCTTATTCCCACTGACGCCGGGACACAGGATGGAAACAACAACGTGTGATTGAAGCTCGTCGTTTTGTTCGCCAGGAGGAGTCGGGAGGACAGTCGGCTCGGTGAGCTAGCCGCGAAGCTAGCGCGGCTAACCGTAACACACCGCCTCTGGCATCACGACAACACACACACACAGTCCACGAGTCGGTGTTTCGACGTTTCTGGAGTCATCATGGAGAAGGTTCGTATTTCACACACACAACACACACAACACAGACACACAACACACACAGCTCCTGCTAGCTCGCGTAGGAACAGCGAACACGCTAAGTGCGAGCTAGCTGCTAGCCACACCTGCTCCTTCTGTTTGAAATGCATTGACCGAGGCCGGGTCAGCATCTGTCTCTGCTCGGCTCTGACTCGCTCATTTGAAGCCACTCGTCGTGTAGTTTATCGGACATCATCGCCTCCTGTCGCCGGAGGTCAGTTACGGGCAGAGCCGCGGGGCCCTGTGGCGAGCAGGGTCCGCTGAGAGGAGGGAACGCCCAGCAGCACCGAGCCTGGTGTCCTCCATCGATCCATCCATCCATCCATCCATCCACAGGGACAGACAGGGACACCTCCACCTGTCAGGCACATGCACTAGAAACCTCCTGACACACGCACACACCGGTCATGTGAACTGCCACAGGTGAATGGCAAATCTGTTACAAGTATGAACATGTGTGGAGGTCACAGATGTCACATGAACTGCATGATGGAAGGAAAGACATTTATCAAACCTCTGTCCCCACAGGCTGATTTCTTGAAAGGACTTCCTGTCTACAATAAGAGCAACTTCAGCAGATTCCACGCAGACTCTGTCTGTAAAGCATCTGTAAGTATCCTTCCACAATGTTTATCTGCTCTGGATTATATGTTTAACTGTATTTATCAAAAATGATTTCTCACACATCAAAATAAAAGATACTTGATTTGTTACTTGAGTTAAAAACAAAAGAGTGCTTAGGAAGAATTCACAGCTGCATTTGGGCTGTTCAAATATAATATTTCGTAACCTCTGACCTGTTTTACAGAATCGAAGGCCTTCTGTGTACTTGCCGACACGTGAATACCCCTCTGAACAGAGTAAGCTCCCAGCTCACAGTGAATAGTCTGGAAAAGTTTGAAATAAGTCTTAAATACATCATAAATGTATCTGGAACCAGTGTTTGTACAAGCCTTTGTTGTAACAGATAGATAGATAGATGTCATAGTTCTTATATAAAGATGGACAATGTGTCTCCACCTCCTTCCAAAATAACCCAGATATGAACACTTTCATGACGTTTCACTGTGGTTTAATAGCATTAAATAACTTATTAAAATCAAGGGAATGTATTTATCTGTTTATCAAATGTATGCTGTGGTTGTTTTGTGGAGACTAAGCAACATAAAATGATGTATTTGCTGTTTCCTCTACAGTTATCGTAACAGAGAAAACCAACATCCTTCTGCGTTACCTCCATCAGCAGTGGGACAAAAAGGTGAGATTGTGCTCCTCTGGTGTTTATTACCTAAGGCTTCATTTATTGGCAGTAACCTTTTTATATAAGTTTTTTTACTTTGAATAATCTTTGGTGTTTGGTTGTTTTATTATTATAAAAACAAACTGTGTGAATTTACTGATGGCTGTATGATTCTTTGTGTCACACAGAATGCAGCAAAGAAAAGGGAACAGGAAGGTGAGGGTGACAGCCCCGCACCCCCAAGGAAGATCGCCAGGACAGATAGCCAAGAAATGAATGAGGACTCATAAATGTGTGTGTGTGTATATATATATATGTGTGAATGAATGTATGTGTGTTTGCGTGCACAGGGTATAGCTAATACAAACCAACAAATTCAAAGGATAAGCCAACCTGAATACTATGGCAGGATGCCAGAATCACACACAAAGAATTGGGGGAATTCCTACCAACAAAGCAGCCTCAACTGGTGTAAAGATTTGAGTGCATGAAAAGATCGGCAGAAATAACCACCATCAGAGAGGGATCCTTATACTGGTGTTACTTTAATTAATGTTGGCTATTCCCTGTGTGTGTCAGTATAAATGTATATGCTTGTATGCATGCTGAGCTGTGATTGTGGGTTAGTTGTGCGTTGTACTGTGTGTGTGCGTGTGTGTGAGGTGAGTCAACAGTTGAAAACGTGTCGGAGTAGATTTGGGATCAGCGATGGACTTGAAAGATGAAACTTTACCCTAAAAATCAGTCTCATACATGACTCGTGTAGCCTCCTGGAGAGTCTGTACTGATTAGTGCAACGATAACATTTTTTGTTACTGTTTTAATTTTATTAAAATAACTTTTATTTTTTACTTACGGCAATGAGCTTCCTGCCAGCCACAGTGCCCGCCCTCTCGGTTTCACTGCCCACTCTGCGACCACATGGGGGCATTGCCACATTTCTCCACTCTGTCAGAATCAACAGAACCAAGAAAGCACTGTGAAGAACAGCACAAAGTAGAAGCAACTCTTCCCCTTAGATGTGTGTGTATGGTGAATATGCATATCTTCATTCTATTCTGGGGCTTGTGCTCTGTAGGAAAAATGTTGTGTTATTGCTCTGAGAAATATTTTGTACATCTAGCACCACCTTCTGGCCAGTCAATGGTAGTAAGTAAGAAAGGCTTTCAGTTTCAGTTCAGAAAAAAAAAGATGGAAAAAGTTTCATCCAAATATGAAATTGTTTATTATGTTGTTGGGTTTCCAGCTGCACCAGTTGGTAACAGCACGGATAGTGAAGAAGAATATGTATAGTAATGAAAGGAAAAGGGAAAACAATACATTATTTTGTGTAAATAATTACAAATAACATGGAATATCTTTGTGTCTGCATTTTTTTGTAAAATATTACATACCTGTGGATACAATAGAAAATGACCCATGTGAGTGTTAAGAGCTGAGCGGATGTTATCTGGCATGTTGATGTTTTCATGGCTGGGTTTTATTTCCATGGACCAGTAATAAGAGTGAAGGGGGTGCAGGGGTGTGGTGATGTCTCATGTGACTGCAGAAGGTTTTAGCCTTCGAGGCCTTACAACCTGTCACCGCTGTTCAGACTCTCTTTGCTCGGGATAGCTGTTCTGTTCGCCCCGTCTGTGTGACAGCCCCGCATGGTTTTAATCTGAGAGCTGGTTTTGATGAACACCAGGGTGGGGGGTTTGAAGGGGGTGTTATTGTTTCAGCCATAGAATGCACAATAAGCATGCACAGCAAAGTGCTGTCGCCATCCTGCCTTGTTCCAGAGATTCAGTTTTGCATCAGTCTTAATGTACATGACTGAATGAAGCTTTTTCTTTTTTTTAATGTTCTTACCACTGCGCATCAGAGTCACAATAAAGCGTCCTGTCCTTGTTTTGGTTGATGCTGCAGTGTGGGTCGATAGCGTGGATGGCCAACTTCCTACCTTCAGTATAAATACACCATCTGTTATTGAAGCGTAAAAACCATGTTATGCTTCTGCTCTGATAGACTGTTCTACTACTCCACCCCAGGCCTTGCCCCCATCTCATGTGTGTTAGATAAGATGTGTTCTTTTTAGCTTTGCTGAAATAAAACTGGATTGAAACTGGGGTTTTTGTTTGTCATGTGGTTCTTTAAAATATGTCATCTTATGTTAAATCCTTTACTTGTGGATTCTGCATATCCAAATCTTGAGGTTTATCTTCGAAGGAGAAAAAGAAGCATCAGTCACAACACATAAAATGCATTTGAAATAGTTTTATTAACTATTTTTCAGGTCTTACAAAAATATGACAAAATAAATTAAAAGAAATAAATAGTCCCATTTCCCAGTATTTTTCTTTAAAAGATTTGTTTTGTACAGTGGTACATTGGAAGAGCATGTGATGTTCAGTAAGTGAGGCTTCCACAAAGATGACTTCTTTTAATCTTTGAGGTTGAGGGTCGGGTTTTTTTTTTTTTTTTAATGAAGCTGTGGTGAGAATCTCACCTGTTCAGACACTTATCGTCCAGTAGACAGAACGTTTACTAAATTCACTCAGTCCTTTCCCACTGATTTGACTTGTAAAGTGTGGATACAGTAAATTCCTACAAGAGCTGCTGCTTTGATAGTGAATTAAAGACGACTGATGAAGTCTGAGCTGACGCCTGTGCTTGGCCCGAGTCACTAACATATTCAAAATCTGATACTTTACTTCAGTTAATGCAAATTTAAAGACCTCAGTTTAAACAATATGCAACATTTGGTGCTGCTAACAATAGCTCAAGGAAGAAAATTGGTTAATTGTGCCCAGTTTTCCCTGATTAAGGAGGAACTACATACAAATCAAGGGATGATCTAAACTCCCCTGTGATTTTCAGGAGTCAGCAAACGCCCTCATATTTGCCCTCTCACTCCAGTTACCTCCACCAGAGCACTGGCTTGTCCTCTCTACAAAAACATCCAAACGATGATGAATCGACTCTTTTGCATCATGGAGTTATTCGTCCCTGATGCTGCAAGAATAGAAGGTTGGATGAAATTATGCTCAGCTGCTGTTCTGAAGTTTTCCAGTGAGAACAAAACAAGGAGACACCGAGGATATCAAATGTCTTTCAGCATTTTCTCTTCTCATTTTACACTTACAAAGAACATAACTCCCGAATATAAAAAGAACATACTGCAGATTTACAGTAATACCATACTGCCACCACCCACATGTTCTGTTTTCCTTATTGCATTCAATGTCAGCAAGATATTTTTGTCCTTCTGTGGAAGTACGTTTCTGAATTCTATTTTGGCGCATGACTAAGTTTAACTTTGCTCACTGTAAAGTTACAAAAGCAGCAACGCAACATAAAAACCAGTTTGGAGCCCGGTGTCCTCAGCACCCCTAGGACGGGCGGATTCTGTAAACACAAAACTGGGGATGGATGAGATTAACTGTTTCTGCACATCAAATATGAGACGGGGACGGGGCTGACAGAGCTGTCACTGAACGTTAAAAAACAAAAGATGCATAGAGTCTGGCTCGGGGTATAGCAGTAGGAAGTGGTGCTGCACATGGGGGGGAGGGGAAAAGTCTTCAACAACTTAGTTATTGCCAAAATCATTGCCAGAGGTGACAGCGTGGAAATGCATAGTTAATGTTACTGCGTCTCAACCTACAGGGCGATGGCCACTGAAACCTTTGTTACTGTGTTAGACGCTATGATGCATTTCACTTTCACAGTCCTCCTGCAACCAGACACTCTGATGACTAACTGCTTATTTCTACTCGTGGTTGACTCTGTACCCATTTCACTGTTTAAACAGTTCACTGTGGCGCCCCCTTCTGGAGAGACTGTAGAAGAGAAATACCGGTTTAATTAATGGTAGATGATGATGGGCTTCCGTACTTTGCGGAAAATCTATTTTACAAACAGAATTTACAGAAAATACATGATGGGATAACAGTATAATCCGAATAAAATAACACTTTGGTTAAAAAAAAAAAAAAGGAAATCTCCAACATCAGCAGATGATGCGTATAAAAAAGATAAAGCTCAACATAAAATAAGAGCAGCTATTTTGTTTTGTTTTTTCTAAAAGCCTCTTCTGAATATTTAGGAAAGTTCCATATAGCTGAGAGCAGGGACGGGTGAGAGGAGGGGAACAAACAATCCAGCTTTTGCATAATGTCAGGAGGCAGGCTGGTGACAGCGCTCTCTCACCGGTAGAGAGAGGTTTGTTTCTATGCAGGGCGTCAGGGTCTAGTGCAAATGTTTTTTTTCTATGCTCGTTTTGCCAAGTCTGGTTAGAGTGTGTGGAATGGAGCTCCGTCTGTCTACAGGCGTGGATGGAGAACAGCGCTCAGGCCTCTGTGCTCCAGTTTTATTTTCATCATCTACTTAATTTTATTAATGTTTTTATTTTCCTTTTCTTGTCTCTCCTTCACTTGACTACTTTCTCTTCGAACAAATCTGATTCTGCCAGAGGGTGAAGCGCAGACATCACCTCTGCTTTGAAAATAAAGCTGGTGATTTATCGGGGATGTCTATAAAGGGAGGGTTTGGAGTGATGATTGATAGGAATAATTAAAAACATTGATTGATATTGCTTTTACTTTTTTTTTTTCTCACTTCAATACAAAAGTGAGGGGCCCAAGAATTCCTCACTGGTGTTGTGAGGGCTAAAGAAGACTCTCAGTAGTTATCGCATGTACAATCGTAGATCCTTTCACACCACGTTTTTAAAACTGTTTTCCTCTGCAGCATGCTGATATGTCCGAGTGGGAGGCCACAGAGATGCTTACAATTTCTGACTAAAAAAAAAAAAAAAAAATCAAGAAACACAGCTCTCTGCTTTAAAGGCTTGAAAATATAAGAAACGCAGCTCATGCATTTCTTTATGTATTGCAGACAAGGAAGGGTTTGTATGTTTGTCTGTGTGTGTGTGTGTGTAAAGGATCGTGTGTGTGTTTGTGAGCATGTGAGTTTATTCGGTCATCGTAGCAACGTCTTTCTCATAAAGCCTGTTTTTTTTGTCTCTCAGCAAAATAAACCAACACTCCAGTCACCTCTCATCATCTCATTGTTTCCTCTCCCTGCTTCAGGTACGTCTACACGCCACCTATGACGATTCAGCAGGTAGGTCAAGCTTCTGCTCACAGTAAACACGTCGCTTCCTCAGTTGAGACGAGTTTTGTTCTCTCTGGAGCGACTAAACTTTAGAGCCGTCCACGTCTGTTGAAGGTCCGTTCTCAGACTCTTCCCCTCCAGGCGAGGGGATCTCGTCTGGAACGCCATTCAAGTCAGACCTGGAAATGTGTCTTTCTGATGTCTGTGATGACGCCCCCTCCCCGGGTCTGGGCAGCGGAGCCCCGTTCACACACGTCCCTCCCTCTGATTTCCCAAAGTTAAACAGTTTCCCAGGGTTGAAGGCTTTGCTGGGTGACTGAGAACGCTCTTGAGAGCTGCTACCTAATGATGAAGATGATGATGATGATGCCGTTGCGGTGGAATTGGTGGCTGTGGCGGCAGATGCAGACGCCACAGCACCGTCCTTCTTGTTCTCAGGGGACTTGAGGAATTTGAAGCTCAGGAACCCAGGAAGCTTTGGCTCGTTGCCGGTGGGTGACTGCGGGGAGCGGGCGCCACCCGAGGAGAACTTGCTCTGCAGCGGGATGATCTGCTTCAGCTTCATCACATTGTTGTTGGCCAGCAGAGAGCTGGGCCTCTTGGGTTTGTCGGACCCCCCGCCTCCTCCACCGCCGGGGCGCGATTTGCTGCTGTGACTTTTGTCATGGTGGTGATCCCCAGAGGAGTCACCCTTACTGTCGTCCCGCTCCCTCTCCCTCCGGGCCATATGCTCCGCCTGCCTCTGCCTCTCCTCCTCCTCCCTCTTCCTCCTCTGCAGCTGCTGGTAATGCTGCTGCGCCTGTCGCTCGTGCTTCTGCAGAGGAAGGGAAACATCGCCATGATACATTTATCAGAATCAGCAGTAACCCAGCAAACCGTTACAATACTGCAGTGCTAACGATCTAACAAATACCTTACTGTAGTAATAAGCCTGCATTATTACAGCAGGGCCAACTACAGCTTATTCTGTTTGCCATGTCGTAGAAATTATATTTCTCAAATGTGTTGTTGTTAAAATATCAGCAGAATGAATCTCTAAAATGAAAACTGCAGCGTTGCAAAACAGACTGTTTTCTACTTCTGCCAAGGAGGTGATGTTTTCTTTTGCGTTAGTTTGTTGGTTTATTTCTCAGGAGGATCACACAAAAACTATTGAACCGATTTCCACCAAACCTGGAGGAAGGTTTGAACATACATTTTTATTACTGATGCAGTTTAAAAAGAAATTTCACTTTCTTAAACTACAGTTTAGGTCATGTAGATTATCAGACCGATTCCTTTTTAATTCATGTTTTCGTCCACGTATGGATTACGCAAAATCTTGATGAGAAAAAATGTTGGCACATTTAGTACATTTGTTTGTTAGTTTGTCAGCATGATTATGAAAAAAACACTGATTTGCATGACATTTTGTGGAGGGGTGGGGCATGAATAAAATGTTGGTGCGGATCCAGAAATTTTTTCTTTAATTTCAAGTGGTCTCATCATTTACCTTAAAGGCCTCCCTGCGCTGATAATCCAGTTTAGCCATCTCCTCTTGGACCCATGTGGGAATGTCAGGTATGGCCACATGGATGATGTACTTCAGGAGAATGGCAAAGTGCTGCAGACAAACAAGCAGGCAGAGACACTTACACACGACAATACACAAGAAACTACAACCACGCTCAGAAACAGAGCACAAAACAAACATTGGGCTGTGAGATTCTTCTACTGATCGGCCCGACTCTTTTACCAGGGCAACACAGACCTGCAGGCTGTTTACCCTTTTCCAAAAATAGAGCCACAGAGTGCACAGCTGACAGAGGCAACGTGAACCAAAGTATGTTCCAAGAAGAGGAAACATGGAGGGAGCCTTCATGCTCAGTTATGGTCCATCGGTGCACATACTCTATCTTCAGAATATAACATGTGATGTATGTACATTTTTGACCGACCAACACATCTTCCTTTTAACACTTTTAAAAATATCTGTAGCATTTAATGAATAGTCCAAAGTCAAGGTTGTAAATTGATTTGCATTCAGAATACATGGCACACCCTCTGAGTAGCATACATTTTGTGCTGGATCATAAGAAAAGGGCGGTGGTGTTGGAAGTTTGAAAAAGCTCTGAGCCCTTCTGAGTGACGGGAGGGAACAAACCTCGAGGATGACGATGGAGATGATGGCCATCTCCGGGCTGAGCCACGGGAAGAGACGCTGTAGCTGACCACACTGACCAATCAGGTAACAGTTCACTATGATGGCGATCAGGCCCATGGCTTCCATTGCAGTCTGTGCACGAGACGAGAGAACAGGTTTCAGCTTTGTTGTTTCTTAAAAGTGGTTTTGTGATTTGCAGAGAACAGAGGAATTGAGTTCATTTCGTGGCTGTTTGTCCGACTGTTTGCAGGATTACGCAAAAACTACAGAATTGATTTTCTTGAAACTGTGGAAGGGTGGAGAATTGACCAAAGAAGAACCCATTGATTTTTGGAGTGGACTCCATTAGAGGGCTGTGTTGAGTGTTCATATCTATGTATAAGGTGAAATATGCAGCAGTTCTTGATTTTGTGAATCAAAATAAGGATCTCAGTAAAAGGATATCAATAAGGATATCAGAATGGATATTTTGCCTGTGTTTAATAAGAGCGATTTGCAGTATATTTCTGTACACTATATATATTCTGTAAACTGTATTTTTATCTGATATTAATACATGTACTGTACTGTTATGCAATATGGTGATAAAGTGGCTGGCGTCTAGTTGTCATTGTTTTCAGCCTGATGTTAGTTCTTGATAAAATTCAAATTCCACTGTTACATACAGTAGTTAAGGTTTGTGCTGTTATCAACTCTCTTTCACTTTTAAAGACTGTGGTTGTGCACATGGATGTATAACTACAATATTTCCAGTTGTCTCTGAGTGACATATATTCAGCTGACGTTCAGGCTTGGCAGAAAAACCTCATGAGCTCATGTTCACTTTTTCCTCACCTGCCACTGGCCGATGCTCTCCACTCGGAGTCCAAACGGCCTCTGCAGGCCAGTGCAGAGCTTGAAGGCATCGCTGCGGATCTCTATGATGTTGTTGATGAGCGCGCACATGGCCGCCAGGGGGAAGGCAGAGGAGAAGAGCACCACATATCCGAACTGGACAAACATCTCCTGGTAGTCCTGGAAGGTGTCCTGGGACGGACAAAATAGATCATTACACCACAGCTCTGGTCCGAATGCCACTATTTCACTAATAAAGAAGAAGAATTTGTTTGTCTGGAGCAAATCAATGAGCAACGGCACAAAAGAACAGAAAAGAATGACAGTTGAGCATTTTTTGAAAATAACACAATTGTTATTCAGATCACACTCTGGGCTCTTGTGCGGTCGAGCCACTGAAGGCTGAGGGATTCTGTTGGATTCATGTTGCAGTGCTGAACAGAGTATGAGGAGAATGGCAGCGTGTTCCCCATCTGACAACATGCAGTAGAAGGTTGTTTTCTTGTAGCTGTTTTCTATCTGTTCTGATTATGTTATGACGTCATAATGTGACTGATCTACAGAGAAACTCAGTCTGGTTACTCTCATGCTTCTGTTATGAGACATTTAGAAAACAAGGGTCAATCAGCTTTTCAAATAATCTACTCAAACAGAAATAATCTCAGAAGTAATCTGACCATGATGAAACACAGAAATCTGCTGCTGGGAACATCACAGAAAAGTAGATCTACTTCCTGATGAACTTTCCAGCCCACACTCATGCACTAGTGGGTTCATAGTGATGCAGGGTTTTGACTTGCACTCACTTTACCTCGTGTGTATGCTAGAGAGGTTGCAGCAATGATGATTAGCGATGATTTGCCAGTTTTTGCAAAAATAAAATGACAAAATACACATTGTGCAGTTTTCTTTGCCTTCCATCACAAGACACAGTGGCGCTCTGCTTCGCCAATTAACATCAGTCTTTCCTGGGTTTGTGCTAAGTGTTATTACACCTAATAGTCCTGCTAGACAAAAATATGAGAGTAACACCCAGGGTGACAAATACCACGTCTATCTGTTGACACACTGTCCACAGTTCACAGATGAGGTGTTTACTCCTTACAGCATAAGTCTGCATGCAGCTCTCCATCTCAGCCTGAGTGAGCGTGGTGCTCTCCCTCTCTTCAGGTGGGTCCATCCACGATTCCCTTTTGGCTTTAGGCTCAGGTCTCTCTACGCTCCTGCCTCTTCTCCTGTGTCGCAGTGACGTGCTGCTCTCAGAGCCAGAGGGAGGTGGAGCAGCGCTGGCAGCAGCAGCAGCAGCAGCATTAATTCCCTCAGCAGCACCTGTCCCTCCCCCACCAGACTCCTTCACATCATGGATGTCATTATCATCGTCGTCGTCACACATTTCAAACACAGAGGCCGGGTCCATTCCCTTTTCCACCATGGTGGGGCTCCCCTCCTCCAGGAAACTGTTGTCCATGGGGGGTCCAGTGCAGACGGGTCTTCTGTCCACCTTAACATCATCATCATCATCATCATCATCATCACAGATCAGCAAAAAACACAATAAATAATAACCACTATATTAAATCAACAGTAATAACAGGTTAACAGTGACATTAATCTTATCACAGTGTATACTACCTTCTCTATGAAGCTGACTTTCCTCAGCTTCAATCCACAGTCGATCAGACTTTCCTCCTCCGTCTCTCCTTCACTGAACCTCCCACTGTCGGCCTCGTCTCTCTCACCTCCCTCCTCTTCATCGGGCACCCCGCACCCCCCATTTAAACACTTCTTTTCCCTGAGAGGAGGTGAAGAGACCAACAGACGACAGAGAAAAGTGTCAAAACAAAACGTGTGTCAACAGCTCAGTGTCTAACCCAGCGTAAATCATAACTGTATACATGTGCACAGACAACGGTAGATAAGTGTTTGTCTGTTTGAACACAAACAGGTCTGTCTGCAGTGGCTATCAATTTACGTGTGGATGGAAAAGTCTAAAGCCACATCAATATGGATTTTTTAAGTAAAAAAATATATATAAATAAAAAAAACCTATATTTGCAAATATAACAAACATGAATGCATCTTCTCTGCACGATAATAAAAGCTTTTATATCAGTGCGTAATGGAAAACATAAATGTTGATATTACATATTGGCCGATTTTCAAAAGGATTCATTTCACACAAATACAGTTATATAGGAGTTGAATTCAGAAAATAAACCCATTTTTATGTCAAATGTAACGTGAGTACTGAGTCTGACCTCCTCTCTGTCTGCCCCACCCCAGGTCGAGTGCCCCTCAGTCCAGGTCCTGGCATGGGCTGGTCAGTGGGAGAGACCTGGGCTTTCCCAGCTGCCAGCCGGGCATATTTCAGCAGCACTGAGAGCAGCAGGTCCCACATGGCTCGCAGTGAGAGCTCGCCCAGCTTGTGGCGCTCATACAGATAAGGCTGCAGCACCTCCTTCACATTTTGAAGGAACTGGCGTATGATGAGCAGAGTGGCCAGCATCTGACATGACGCAGAGAAAGAGTCACGGAAAAGATTAGCTGCCTCACAATGACTAATCAGAACTTTTAAAATAATTGCTTCCCTGTAAAAACAAAATGCAAACTACTTAGGATGCAGGGCGTGAGAGGAACAAAGAGGAGCAGCTGGACAGAGGAGACACTAGAATCACAGGCTGAGAGCAGCAGTGGGATACACACTCTTAATGCAACAAATCAATCATAACACACTTATGTATGCAGACTTTATCCACAAGCAAATCACATAAGACAGAGGCCTGCTGCGGAATGCTTCCCAGTGCATTAAAAGTTTCATGACTTCATTGGGATGTGTCCAGAAGTGTAATATATTTGAAAGAACCAACATCGCAGCATCTGATTCACTGTGGGAAAATGCTCCAATAACTCTGAAAGCATATTTCACTGATGAACATGAGCATTAGAGGCCTTTCAGTATCACTCGTACCTTAAACAGCAAATGCAAAATACATATTTTAGAACCAATATGCTTAATTAAGAATATAATTCCTACAACTTGAGTTCTACTTTAATAATTCTATAGTTTTTTAAGCGGGATTACACGAAATCTACAGTGCAGATTTCCATTAAATTTTTGTCCGGATCCTGATCCGGGTGCGTAACCACGTGTTTGAACCTTTTCATTTATTTCTCAGAAGATAATTCATGGTTCTTGATGAGAAAAAAAATCCGATAAGTTAAGGGAACTGATATTTATGTGTTCAATTTGGTGCAGATCGAAATAAAAATCCAGATCTAGTGAATTTAAATGTCGCCCAAATTATTTTCTGAGAAATCAATGAAAATGTTGAAAAAAAACTTTAAAAAAGGGAAACAAAATCCTAGATCTGCCCTCTGATCCGTGTCTGCACCAAAATTCAATGGGTTCTCTCCAGACCCATATCAAATCTTTTTTTGTTTTGTGGAAATCCATCCAGTAGTTTTTTTATGTAAAACCACTGACAAACAAAACCAAAACATAACCTTGGAGAGGAAATAATATCATTTACTCAGTAAGTTAATTGCTGAAATCCAGATACACATCAACACCGCATAAAGCTTTAGCATGTTGATGTGTGTTTCCAGCAGTAATAAAACACATTGAGCTGACAGAAATGAAAATAGAAAATGTCCTTATACACCAGAATCATCCATTAACACTCAAAACCAAGCAGTGAGTTTATCTTCAGCCGTTTAACATAAACCCAGAGGATAAACATTTTCATGAACTGCGTCACAGAGGCTTTACTGTCGTTTCATCTCGTCTCCAAGTCAAATAATGCTGATGCACAAGATGCAGACACCAAACCACAATGAATCCCAGACAAGGACACGGACAGAAAGTCATTTCAGTCAATGATGGGAGACCTCGGAGACGGAGAAAAGGAGATCGTGTGCTCCCGCTGCTTCCGACTGGAACAGTCAGCACGGCTATGTCAGAGTCTGAATCAAGCTGACAACACCAGATGGTTTTCTGTGTTTTCAGTGTTGTAGCCAGGTTATTTTTACTTTTGTTTTCTATTTATTACACTGCAGTATGAAGAATAACTAGAAAAATCCAAGAAAAGTTGTGTCGCTATATACCATTTGTGTGGTAATGTATTGTGTAGTATATATAGTATGAAGTGCGTATATTATTTGGTACAACAACGAAGTCAGGTGATGTTATCAGTTTATGAATGAAGTGGCACTCCGGCTGAGAGTGGAACAGAAACTGGCAAGACTGAGTGAGAAATTTAAGTGTGAGAGTTGTGCTGGAACAAACGATTTACTGCATGAAGACAATTAAAGAAATCCACGTTGACTCCAAATACCCATGTCGAAGAAAAATCTAGAAAGATGCAGGTGAGGTGGTCCCATGGAGGGAAGATGGGTGGATGTGGTGTGAGGTCTTAGTCTTAGAATATCAATGCATGAACTGGCTGAGAGAGGAAATCAATTCAATTTGTAGAAGTACGCCTTCACCAGACAGAGACAATCTAAATAAGGGGCTGCTGGTTCATTCACTCATTCATGGTTGAAACGTGCCATGCAAGGAGATGCTCGGGGTGGTCAGAATTTGACCCTTGACCTCCCACCCAGAGGATGAACGGGCTCATACTTTGGACCTGAGGAAAGCCCTGGAGAACCAGGGGGTGGAGACCATAAATATGTGGATCTTGAAGAGGAGGAAGGGCAGCACGTTATCCCAGACCTGCCGCTGCAGACTCCTTAACAGAGACAACACCAGCAGCATCTTCCACAGACACACAAATGGATGGATGTGTGGATGGACGGTTATGGGAATCAATGCATGGAAGCAAAGATAGCAGAGGATTTTAAGAATGGCAGATTACAACAACATGTGTGGAGGGTCTGGAGATTTACTGACAGAGACGTTTCTTACCTCTTTCAGACGCTCCATGTCTTTGAGGTAGAATCCAATGTAAAAAAGGCTGAGATAAGAATTTACAAACTGAAACTGCAAGAGAAAGAAATGCCAGCTGTCATATTTGAAAGGAAATGTTGAAGAGATTCAATTGAATATTATGCAGTGAAAAGCGACTCACAAGAACCATTTTGATGATGAGATTTTTCTCATAGGCACTCTGGAGTCTATAGTTTTCTGTTGAAACACAATATACAGTGAATTATCTCTTATCGCACCTCTTGAAACATTCATAAACAATGTAATATATTGTAAAATCAAAGTAAATGACTAATTACAGTTTACAAGAATCTCAAATGACAGCATCATTAACTTTAATAATATCTTTATACAGCCTCACCCATGTCATTGAGCCAGCAGGCGATTTTCCTGTACACCTCGTCACATGCCGTCACAGTGATGGCTAGCATTATTTTGGGGATGAAGCGAGCTAGCCGAGGCATTTCCTTGATCCCCATCACAAATTCCTGCACAGACACAGATTTTTTATCCATCACGTCCAGGAACAAACATCAAACATGTGTTTGTTTTCAGCTCTTTGAAAGAGAAGTTCACTAGCAGGGACCACGCCACAAAAATATGTAATTCAAAGGTTTTAAGTATGAGTGCTACGGTCAGACGAGCAGGAGACGTGTGAAACAGCTGACTGACAGCTGACTGACCTGCAGCTCAAAGCAGATGAGCATGACCAGGAAGACAAAACAGAGACAGAGGATACAGATGGGCAGGCTGACCAGCCACCTGAATACACGCCTCCTCCATGGAGGATAGTAGAACTCCTCACATCCTGTTATGGGACTACAGCGCTTGACTCCCTGCAGAGAGAGAGAGAGACATAGAGAGAGTTTAAACAGACCTGATATAGAGGAGGGGAGGAAAGGAGGATGGAAGGTTTTACTTTCTCTCACCCGGAACTGAGGCCGTGGCTCCTCCAGGGATTCAGACGGCGAGTCCAGAGTTCCCCACTTGTACGCCAGCTCAGCCCCCCTCCTCTTCCACCGCTCCAGAAACAGAGTTGCCCACACGACGTTGAACAGGGCAAACACCACACAGCAGATGTCACGGCTCGTCTGAAAGCCCAAAAGCACAAACAGATGCTTAACTCTGTGATGAGGTTATACAATATTTTCGGCCGCTGGTTACAGATGTTTTAGGCCGCGACAGGATCTCCTCTCACCTGATCTGACTCAGTGAGCATCCACAGCACAAAGCCGATCACAGCGGGATACAACATAGATGTGGTGTAGAAACCCAACCAGGCGAAATACATGGCAATCTTCACCCCAAAGTAGTCACAGATATCATCTGCACAAACAAGGGAAAATAGAAATTTGAATGAGAAAGATCATTTGAAGTCATTATAGCAACAAAAGAAACACATGCATTCATTATGTGTGCTGCAACAACAAATGATTGATTAATCCTAATAAACTGTATATAGTGTCTTTAATGGCTCTTGGTTGGGAAAGTTAATGCCTGATTAAACTATATTTTACCTAATTTCCTTATTTTATAGTGATGTTATGATGACGCTTATTGTCCGATAGGATGCAGAGATAACACAAAAAACTAGGCTTGACATATTTTTCTGGGTTCTTTGTAACTTCTTCATGACATAATTTATCACATTACATTGAACATATAATGAAGTAGAAATGATTGTTAAATATAAGCTTTAGATTGTCTCCCTAGCTCTTTTTTCATTCATAAACATATCATGAAAAAGGAGTTTTTTGATCATATTTTTGTCGACCTCTGACCGATCAGCTCCAACAGTGAATCATCTGGATATGCCCTCCTAAGTAATATTTACACCAAGTTTGGTGATAATTGGTCCATGTTTAATGTAGTTATTTTGTGTATGTGTACTGTATTGTAATTGAAGTCTGTGCTCATGTTTTGTGATACTGACCTAAAGGTTGCTTCTCACAAACAGCCTGGACCCAGGACTTCATCAGCTGACCCAGGATCCTCTGCTCATGGAGAGGAAACACCTGCTGGATCACACCTCGCGCACTCAGCTCTGGGACTGAAGAGAATAGTGAAGCAAGAGGAAAACAATTTTGATTTGCACAGAAGACAGAAACACAGAGAGATCAGAGGGGGAATAGAAATAAAATGATCAACTGCATTTAACTGTGAGATCCATCACGTGTCTCCTCATGACCTCAAACCCAAACCAATGAAGGGATTATCTCCAAAGCCGAGCAGGGAACACCCCTCTGTCTCAAAAAGACAAACATCACCAAATCTCTACAAACATCGTACTGATGATAGAAGCAGCTTACTGATTGGCTGGCCCTCCAGGAAGTTGATATTATGGAGCACCTCCCCATGTTTGGCACGTAGATTGTCCAGCCAGTATTTAATGATGCTCTGCCTCTCCTGCAGCGAATGAAAGGAGTGAGACACATACGGGTACTCGAGAACGTGTTCACCTGTCATACGTGTGTTAGCGACTCTGACCTGTGACGTGAAGAAGCACAGCTCACTCTCGATGTTCTCGTAGATGTAGTCCTCCTCGCAGGAGAAGCTGCGCGTTCCTCCTCCAAACTCGGGCTTCACTGCTTTCCTCAGTCCCATCTCCTCAGCACCTCGCAACAAACTACAGCACAGAGAAAAACCTCAAACGTTCAGTTCAACTTGTCTCGCAGTTATACCGCACAGGATGTAGGTGGAGAGAGCAGTGTTGATGGTGACAGAATATTAATGTGTTTGATTCCAGCTGACAAAAGAAAGCAGCAGGTTATTCAAGTCATCTCTTCTAGAGGAAATACTTTCTGTTCTTCTGCTGTGGGTGAAGAAACTAAAGTCCTCACTTTTTAATTATCTGTTTTTTGACTCTGAGAGACTCTATTTTGAAAATTAATTTTGAAATAAAAGGAATTGATTAAGTGAAAATGTCCAATATTCTTGTTTCGACTTCACACATGTAGACAGATAAATAGATAGATAGATAGATAGATGGATAGATGTTCCAACAACCCCTCCTCCATGTCTACTTCTCTTCCTCCCTCCTCCTTATTCTCCATCTTCCCTGTCACTCTGTCTCCTCTCTCCTCTCATCCCTCTTACTCCCTCCCACAAACCTTTCATGCCCCTGATTTCTCTCATTGACCCCCCTCCTCCCCTCCTTCATCCCATCATCCCTTTCACCTCTCCTTCTGTCCTTCCCAGTGGCTTTGTAATAATGCAGTACCACACCCTCTGTTTCCTACAGGCTGACAGCTCAGCCCTCTCTCTCTCTCTCTCTCTCTCTCTCTCTCTAACATGTACATGTAGTTTAGCCTGTAACATCCATCCATCATGCAGCTCCAGGCATTTGGAGGAGCAGGACACAGAGACACATTCGCCACTAGGATGAATTGCGGCAGGAATGTGAGGTGTACGATTCTGTATCACCTCTGAATTGTGTTTAGTGCGCGCAGCTGTTACAGACAATGTCCTTGTCTGAGGAGGAAAAAAACAAGGCTGTATCTGTTTAAACCAACTGTTTAGTAATCTAAGCCAATAACTGCAGGGCCTCTCAGAGGTGTGTGGCTCCTTCTGCTGCCAGGAATCTTAATGAGATTCTCCCTCTCTAACTTTATCGCCCTTTTACACTCGTCTTAATTCGGAGATGCAATCAAACACATCATGTGGACAAAGCTAAGCTTAGACAGCAGAATTCTGAGGGGATGTTCTGCATGTAAGGTTTATGCTAATTCAACAAATATATATCAGGTTGTAGACATTCAGCAAAACCAAACGGCTGTAAACTGCCCAGTCATGGCTGATGAATGAGTAATGGAATGTACATGAGGTAAGAAAAGGAGACGTCTCACAGAGGACGTTGACTATACACAAACTGTGCAACTGTGCTTTTTAAATTGTTTCCTAATTAATAAATGGAGCCATTCTGAAAATAAATCAGGAAACAACACTGAGCCAGTGTGAACAACGCAGGCTCCCCTCACTGGTTACTGAGCACCTTCAAAACAAGCACATCGTGTAAAAACAACTGTTTCTGATGATATCATAACAAAACACAAACCAGCATGCAGCCCTCAGCTTGGATTCTCAGATAAGATGGAAGACAACTTAAAAGGCAAAGCAAACAGGTGTTGTGAAAAGGACCACACATGTTACCAGACTAGTTATAAATTTGGCCATTATGTTCATCGGGGGAGGAAAGTTATATAAATTACAAAATACACACATTTACATGGCTGCTACAAGTATTTAAGATAGTGGAGCTGTAAGATCTTTGGCTGCTATGTGCGTCGCAGAGGAAAAAATCATTTGATATCAATAATTATCACGATTTATATCACAATATTATTGTCGGGATCACTGAATCTTCATTAAATCATGGGGGATTTCTTTATGAAGAACCATGGTCATCTCTCCTGTGCAGTTTAGAGAATCCGTGAAGCTGCACATTGAGACTCAACATCTCATTAAGTCACTTTTTAATGGTATTTTTCCTTTAACTGATCAACGTCTGTAACTGGACTGAAGAGGGAAGGAAAAGTCTCAGTGCTTCAAGAACAATTATCCAAGGAGAGGAGAGGGTGGAGCACTTCCTGTTTTATCTTTTCTATCACATGGAATGTAGGTTATCTGACAGCAGGTGTGTGTGTGTGTGTGTGTGTGTGTGTGTGTGTGCGTGCAGAGAGAGTGGGGGGGTGAGTGGGTGAGTGAGTGAGTGAAAGCAGAGAAAAAGAGAGAGATGAGTGTGAGTGTCAGAAATCATTTTCCTTGAGCATTTCTATTTCTCTCTCTCTTTTCTCTCTCTCTCTCTCTCTCTCTCTCTCCCCACCACGTTATCTTTCCTCACTCCTTCCTTCCTTCCTTCCTTCCTTGTCCTCTCTGCCCCCATCCTCTCACTTATATTCTCTCTGTTTCTGCCTTTCTCTTTCATTTTCCCTTTATTTCTTCCTGTCTTTTCCTCCTGGCCATCTGTCCATTCCTGTTCCATTCAAGGGAAAAACTTCTCATTGTGAAATGCACAGTCAGCAGAGAGGTCTCAACATTTGTCATGTGCTGAAATGCAATATGGAACAGTGAGTGCTGCCCTCGTCTGCTGGATTGGATTTCTCAGTATTTATACACCAAAGTCAACGCTGAGATTAAAACGACCCTGCGCTCTTGCACAATTCCCCCGGGGATCTTCTTTTAAAGACACTGTGTCTGTGTGTTGTTATCAGAATAAATACAATCACCATAGTGTTTAACCTGCCTCCAGCTTTCTGCAACACTTGAAACAACCTGCAGCAGCAGAGGAGTGGAGCTGATACACCTGGTGTCACTGCAGCTTCACTAATGATTCGCTCTGCAGGAGCTAAACTGCTGTGCTTATTATAGCTGCAGTTATTTATATATAAAAACCATGACAAATGAATGTACTATTTCTCTCTAGCACAAAACAACAGGGATATTTCTGTCTTTAATATCCCAACTCCAGCAGAAGCATCTAAAAATAACCAAAGCTCAAACTACTGGAGGAAGTGATCTACTGTATTATTCAGAAGCCAGTTTGTTCATTTCCCGTCTCTCTGGAGGAAAGTTACATCTGTAATTTCTGGTCTGTGTCTTGTCCAGAGTGACAGTGTGATTAATTCACACCGCTACCGTAAATACATCCTCAACAGCAGCTACCTGTAACAGGTCAAATCGTTGTGTTCAGCAGGGTTAAATATTACAACAGCTGGAGCTGACAGAGCCCTCAAGTTTTTTTTACATCGCTGGGAAGTTTGTTTTTTGTCTGGGTTCATTTGTTAGTTAACAGGAGAAAAACTTCTCAACCGATTCCCATGAAATTTTGTGGAGGGGTGGGGTATGACCCAAGTAAGAACCCATTTACTTGTGGAGCAGATCCAGATGAGGATTTTCCATTTTCTGTAACATTGTGAGCACTTTCCAGCATTTGCCTGGATCTTGATGAAAAACATCAGGCACGTTTAGCAGACTGACTGCAGATCCACAAGAAAATCTGGATCTAGTGAATTTAAATGTGGTTTCTTCAGGAGACTGTTGGGCCTTGGTGGAGGTATCTTCTCTCTGATTGACATTCTAGTTCACCGATGTGGAGGAATACATTAAAATGTTGTTAAATGCACTTATGAGCAGATGAGAATATAAGGATTCAACATGAGGATTCACCGCTTCTCTCTTATTTTGTATTTTAAAGGTTTGGACTGATAGTCAGACAAAACAATACATCTGGAGACATCTGGGAAACTGTGATGAACATCTTTCACTATTACCTGATGAATTGCAAAAGTAATTTACAGATTAATCAGTATGGAAAATAACCGTCAGGGGTTATGGGCAGATTTCTTACTTTTCATACGTGGCGGTGACGAAGAACGCGTAGACTCGTGTGCGCTTGTGATGTCGGATTTGTATGATGAGCTCTGGGATTCCCAGCCGGATGTGGTTCAGTAGCCATAGTAACGTGTGGTCATCTGTACTGTCTGTGGCAGGAAATGAGGAAGAAAAACACATTTTCATCAATACCCACGCATCATCATACACAGGAGCGGCTCACTCCTCCCACAGTCTTGTACTATTTATTCCTGAGCGGCAGCTGGAGGTGAAGTGTCGTACTAACAACCACTAGACATTGACTTTTCCTCTCTGCCGTCTGAGCTGGTTCACTGATTCAAACTGATCACAAGCCTGATTCTCTATTGTTAAAGCTGTGAGAGACAGCTAAGAGATAATATTGTAATAAAAAACAAAGTGACAAAGGTCCCAATATCCTTAACATTAAAGTTGTAATTGTCCTTTTTGCTGTCAACAATATCATCAAACTATCGATTCTTTCTGTTGCACAGTTATGATAAAAATAACTTTATTTATTAAGCACTGTAACAGCCATTACAAAATGAAGTACAGAGATACAGACATGAGTGTTTGTGTGTCGAGTGCTTGACCTGCAAATGTCATGAGGACGTCACAGTTCTCTGTGGGCACCGTTTTCATCCAAGACTTATGAGACATGATGTGTCTCCCAGCCTGCAGCAGCCGCTTTCCAAACAGCTTATCTGAGACAGAGACGGGGACAGAAAGAGGAGAGAAGAGAACGTCACCTTTTCAAAGTTAAACAGCGTAAGGAGCGATATCATTTCTATCATTTTCCACAACCCCCGCCAAACTCAGAGCAACACTGCCCAATCGCGCGCGCACACACACACACACACACACACACACACACACAC